TCTTTTCGATTTAAAGAGTGCTTACCATCCACATAGATTATTTTTTCCGGAACATACTAAATATTTAGGTTTTTGTTATATTGAAAATGGGATTGAAAAATATTATGTATATTAACTCATTGCCATTCGAATATCCACCGCTGGGCATATATTTTACAAAAACACTTCGGGTTATCATTAAATATTGGAGATCTTTTGGTCATAAAGTTATCATGTTTTTAGATGATGGAGTAGGTGGTCACACTGAATACGAAAAGGCAAAAATATCTAGTAATTTTGTGCGAAGTTCTTTGCTCGAATTCGGGTTTTTGCTTGCTGATAACAAGTGTTGTTGTCTCCATCAAGATTAGTGTCTTGGTTGGGTCATACAATTGATTATAACACAAATTGTATGTTTATTGCAGAAGAAAGAATTGCTCGTTTAGAATCGTCATTAAAATCAGTCATTTTTTTCAATTATCAAGAGATAATTTAGATTTGTTACACGTTAAGTGTTTAGCTGCCGTTGTAGGGCAAATAATTTCTCTTGCAAAGCGTTGTAGGAAAGATAGTCTGTCGGAGAACCAGGTATCTATAACAAGTGTATTATAGCACGCGCAAGTTGGAATACTTCTGTTAAGTAAGCGAGAAGGCTTTAAATGAGCTGCATTTTTGGCTAGATAATGCACGTATTTTAAATACAAAGGGTAAGCACATAAAGAAATGTTTTACATCTAGTTTGAGTATGACAAACCGATGCAAGCTCCGTCGGATACGGAGGTTATATATATCAAAAAAAAAATCGGTCAGTTCTCGAAAATGAGAATGCAAAGGGTTCATATATTCTTACTAATCATGAACGTGTCGCACCTTTTTTGTAATAGATATCTGGAAGAAAATCCAGGCTATAGTTTTGAACGCAATTTTAAGCGTTCCCACCGGATGTGGATGTGGTTGAAATGGTAGCTCCCGGATGTGAGCAAGATTATCAGGGTTGTTTACAGAAAAGTACTCCCGGAAGTGAGTCTAGTGCACTGTTGCTCCCGGAAGCGAGCACCGTATTCTATACGGGTGGTTATTGTAGATTGAATGGTTCGAATGTACACGGTTCTTGGACCGAAATTGAAAAGCAAAAAAGTTCAACTTGGCGTGAACTTGAGGCTATGCATAGAGTGTTGAGAAGCAATTTACAAAATTTTGCACAAAAATAATGTAGTATTTTTACACAGACAATATGAATGTCAAATTTATTTTGAATAAGGGCAGCTTCATTGATGATTTACATGAAATTTGTTTAAAAAAATACACAACGTTTGCGATTCGAATGGCATATTTTTTTACAGTTGTATGGATACCAAGAAGTGGCAATGCAGAAGCTGACTATCTTAGCAGATGTTTTGATAGTGATGACTGGTCTGTAAATAAAGATGTATTTAGATATTTAAATGTAAAATGGGGTCCATTTTTACTATTGATAGGTTTTCTACACATTACAATAACAATTGTAAAAGGTTTAATTCTAGATGGTGGGTACCAGGTACGGAAGCAGTTAATTGTTTAACACAAAATTGGTCTAACGACAACAATTGGTTAGTTCCACCGCCAAGCATGGTTATCCAGTGTATAGATAAGTTAGAAAAAGAAAAATGTAAAGGTACTTTAGTAATTCCTGAGTGGAAATCTTCAGCATTTTGGCCATTATTAAAAGACGATAATGGTAGTTTTAAAACGTTTGTGAAAGATTATTATGTTTTACCGGTGATAGGTGCGGTAACGAAGGGAAAAGGAAACAACGGAGTTTTTAATAAGGAACCTTTCAGTTTCAGGATGATGGCATTGAGATGTGACTCGTCATAAGCGACAGTTTAGTTTGTTAATATGTTCTTAGTTTTAAGAATTATTAATTCAGAATTATGCTTTCAGGTTCTGGCTTGAGACAAACAACTCAAAGGAAGTTTCATGATGCCGGTGTAAATATAAACGACGAAAAACGTTTTATAGACAGAATGGCCTGTACATATATTAGATTCTAGGGCGGATAGCACAGGACAAATATACATATCAAGTAAAAGCGTTAGAGATTTTTGTACACAGAAGGGATTTTTGTGCAATCCCGCACATTCCATTCACGTAGCCATGTATCTATCCAATTTAATCGATATTGGTAAATCAGACAGTGTAATTACAGCAGCATTTTACGGCATTAAATGGTATCATAATATAAATGACTTCGCAGATCCGACAGAGAACGTTATAGTAAAATCTATGTTAGAGTGTGCAAAGCCGTACCAACTCTAGACCCAGGACAAAGAAGGACATTATAAGTTCTGATCACTTAAAGGAACTGTGTAACATGTTTTCAGATTCATCAGATGTTATTGTGCTCCGGGATTTAACTATGATTTTGTTAAGTTATGCAGGTTTTTTGCGTTTTGATGAGGTCAGCAATTTACGCCGTAATGATATAAGTATTAAGAGTGAATATTTGTCTTTGTCAATTAAGAAAAGTAAAAACTGATATATACAGGGGTGGCAAAGAAGTTCTTATTTCTAGAGGTCAAACTTCAGCCTGTCCGGTAACTATGTTACAAAGGTATTTAGACTGCATCAATGAGAAGTTTAATTCTGATTCTTACATTTTTAGGGCCTGCCTGTAGGTCACGTCAAAAATGTTTTTTGATTCATAAAAATAAAAAGTTGAGCTACACTCGTGCAAAGAGTGTATTGTTTCTAAGTTAAAGCTTGTTGCACCCGATTTGCATTTAGGAACGCATTCACTGAGAGCAAGCGGTGCTACCACCGCCGCTAACGCAGAAGGTATTTCAGATAGGTGTTTAAAGCGACATGGTCGTTGGAAATCTGATTTGGCCAAAGACGGTTATATAGATGATTCTTTAGAGAAAAAACTTTTTGTTACTAAACAGTTAAAATTGTAATTGTATGCTGTATTGTTTGAGAATAATTCGAATTTGAATATCCTCCCTCTAACATTTGTATAGGTTCTATCGTAAGCCTTGCCCATTGCAAAACTGTGTTTGTGTTTTGTGCTAAAATAAGGTTAAGACTTTTAAGTTCTGCGCGTTACGTAGTATAGCCGCAGAACGTATGTCTCAACGTTATGTCGCACATAAACTAGTGCGCGGATCACTGATGCGTATATCACGTGATCAGTGATTGGTCATGTGGTTTTAGGCGGTATAATGCTCGTGGAAATCAGTTCTACGCTCGGTTTCGATTGTGAAGGACAATTTTATTCAAATTCGAATATTGTATTTCAGCCAGTTGTTGCATATGGCTTTGTAATAAATATTTGTGATAAATCGGAAACATAAGACATTAAACAGATTTTATATAAAAATATATGTAACAGTCATACAATCATTTATGTTGATAAAATATTTGTAACAAGCTATATAGGTATACTGTAACTAACCCTGGTATGATAGGAACAGTTTTCCAGAGTCTTTTAACATTCCTTATAATGGGCTGATTGTTTAATCTCTGGTTTTTAACCTGACTTATCATATCTTGGTTCATATAGTTTGTAAGGATATTCACAAAATGATAATATACAAGTGAAATTGTTTATCTTTTTATATGTATACGGTTTGTCGTATCATAATGTATATTTGTATGTACGAAAACGAAGTTATACAATAATATGTACTTGTACACACTGCTCAAATAATAAACAATCGTAAGCCTTGCCCATTGCAAAACTGTGTTTGTGTTTTGTGCTAAATAAGGTTAAGACTTTAACATTCCTTTCGTAACAACTCCAACAAAAATAGAACTATTTGGAGCATATATTCAAAATTAGAACTCGATTTAAATATAATTAAAATTACAATATTTCCAATTAAGCTCCTGCATATCACATAACAAAAATCTTCGTTTCATTCTAATAGACATAAATCCATAGGCATTAATAAGTAAATATTTTGTAGATACAAAAACACGACGAAGAAGAGCTTGAGGCTGGACCTTTTGTGGTTAGCCCTCAGAAGTAAGTGTGTTCTCCTTTAGCATTAAATAAATAAAAGAGCCACACTTGTACCCGCTAATTAATGATTTATCATATTCAAACAATGGTTTAGTCAGTTAACGTACAGTATTGGTAAATGGTAACTTCGAGCATCACTGCTTTCCATGGCTTTTTCCGAACAAGTGAATTGTGTAGACAAAATAAATCAAATGTTACACGAACCTTCCCAGTTTTATCACAATGACATTGATATTTTTACAGAGTCAGAATCCAATCACATTCTCTCTTTTGCACTACGGAATTATTCAACTTATTTCACACACAATGATTGCCCCTTTTTCATTTTGTGAATGGAGAAGCAGGGACCGCTTATTTTACGAACACATGAGAAACACCATTGAATTCCTTGGTTTCGACATGTATCAAATTAATACCAGTTCCAATCTTTTCTTATTGGAGATGCAACTTATGCAGCAATGCAAGTCAAACGGAGAAAGTCAAACGGAGAAAGTTATTACAGACTAGGTCGTTGGAAATCAAATGCTTCACAAAACCATATCCGCATTCAAATTCTTAACGTACTTCACTTTCACATATGAAGAAACAATGTTATAAGAATATCCGTTGTGATTTCTTTTAGTCGGGGTCCTCAATAGGCTGCTTGTAGGTTCAGAAAATGTTGTTCAATTCGATGCATTTACTGTTAAGAACATTTAGGAACATTATCTTGCATATTTTATTTTCACATGTTGTACTATATATACTTTGTTTAACTGTCCATATTCTACATGTACAACTTCGCCATTTAAAATGAAATGACAATTTAACAGATATTTTGTATAGAATTAAATCAGCCTCTCATCTCGGACGAGATTCACAAAGTATTATCATAAAGCATATATCATATGCAAGCATACAGTGGATTACGTACTGTTATTCAAACTATTATCTAATATGACCACCACCATGCACATTTGCGCTAAAATGACCCCTATACCACTTACGTATATAATTAAACGTTCAATAAAATACTTACAGGTTATATCATCCTCCGATTTACAGGTTATATCATCCTCCGACTTACAGGTTATATCATCCTCCGACTTACAGATTATATCATCCTCCGATTTCTCAAGTTCGTCAACCAAAAAACCTAGATCAATTTCACGCAGACACGTCTTAAATTGGTTATATTTATCTTCTCGTAGTACATATTTGTCACACATTTGTTTAAAAATAAATGCGTTTTTGTCTGAGGTTTTTGTTAAGTCCTGCAAAAACATAAACAATTATACATGAAAGTTAAAAACATGTATGTGAAGTAAGCAATAATGAGTATTTTCCTATAAATGTGTGTAAATACAACATAGACCTTATAAATGAACCATAGCAATTAGTGATTATAAGACATATGACAGACATAGATTTATTTCAATCATATAAGGCTTATAAGCCCATGATGACATGATAATAGTATAATACAAGACAACGAACATGCACAGGTCGACATTACAAAACATAAATATGGATTACTTGGTAAATAAAAGATTTAATTCTTGTAATTTTCTAAAAGAGGACCTACACTTTCCATTATATCACAGTGAGCCCCTCCCCCTCTACTCTACTTTTTGTGACTCCATTCTGATCTCTTTTTTGTGCCCCCAATTTAGTGGCGGGCATTTAGATTTACCCTTGTTCGTCCGTACAAACCAGAGCTACATTATGGGGTTTGGTCTATTGTTCTCATAACAATAGATGTCTTTGATGTCATTCATTCCGTTTCTCTTGTGGGCTTATTTTCTGCATTGTGGGGTTAAAAAGAACAAAAGAAATAACAAAAGAAAACCCCATTTTGTAGCTCTGGTAAGAATGTCCGTCCATCCGTCCGAGCAAACATTTTGGGTTTAGGGGCTATATAACAGTAAAGAGAACAAAAGAGAACAATAGGTTCATTCCGTGATCAAAGGGTTGAGGGGCTAGTAGCCCTTAAGAAAAAAAAATAACAAAGAGAATAGCCCTTAAAGCCAAAATGTTGGAAAGTCCGTCCGTCCTTCCGTCCGTCCTTCCGTTCTCTTTTGTGTCGCACGTAACTCAAAAAGTATTTGACCTAGTGTCATGAAACTTTACAGGAATTTTGATCAGCATGTGTAGTTGTGCACCTGGGTATTTTCGTCTGGATATTTTTAGTATTTTTAGAGTTATTGCCGTTGACTCAGTAAACATTTTGCAATATCAACTTGTGTCGCATGTAACTCAAAAAGCATGCGACACAAGTTGAAAATTGCAAATTTTTACTAAGTCAAGGGCAATAACTCTAACAAAACATTACAAATTCACAAGTAAAACCCAAGGTTCAAAATTAAACATGCTGAGCAACATTCCTGTAAAGATTCACGAATCTAGGTCAAATACTTTTTAAGCTACGTGCGACACAAGTTGAAAATTGCAAATTTTTAGTAAGTCAAGGGCAAAACCTCTACAAGCACTATAAACATCTTCATTGAAATACCAAAGGGGCACAACTACACATGCTGAGTAACATTCATGTAAGGTTTCTCTAGGTGACTCTAGGTCAAATACTTTTTGAGCTAGTGCAACACAAGTTGAAAATTGCAAATTTTTAATAAGTCAAGGGCAATAACTCTACAAGTACTATAAACATCCACACGGAAATACCCAGGTGCACAACTACACATGCTGAGCAACAGTCCTGTAAAGTTTCATGACTCTAGGTCAAATTATGTTCATGCTACATGCGACACAAGTTGAAATTGCAAATTTTTACTAAGTCAAGGGCAATAACTCTATAAGTACTGAAAAACAACCATTTGAGAAAATTCAACCGTTAATCCTCAAGTAACGAGATCAGTAATATAATAATATCAGTATACTTAGACACTATGATAATATTAATGACTACATGAAATTGTTTCTAATAATGGTATGAACAAAATAATTCTAATTATAACAAACAATTAATTGATTGAATTTCTAAGTTTTCAAGCTTTTTCAACAAATATTATTAGGTTTCTCATATTTTTTTTATTTTCTGAATTTAATAATTCTAAAAATGTATACATATTTAGTCTGTTCCAAAACAAATTGTGTATATAAGTGTTTCTTAATTCTGTATATAATAAGCATTCAATAACAAAATAACATTCATCTTCAAGAGTATTGCATATGGAACATTTTCTATCGTTTAAGGGTATTCTGGTTGGTTTTATCCATCTACCAGCTTCTACTTGTAGTCTATAAGAGGACACTCTCAAACGTGTTAAGGACTGAACAAACGATTTGCAGTAAAACAATCAAGATATGGTTGGACAAGAATATCTTATCATTACATACACCTTGATATAACAATACATCAACAAAACCTAGTGAACATAACAAATCTTTAAACATGGAACACCAATTTCGCCTATTTTCATGCTGTTCAAAATCATCTTTTAACAAAGAGTAAATAATGAAGACATAACGTGTTTGTTCCCAAACCAACATTTAATAATATTTAGAAAAACTCAGTTTTAAAATATACACGACCTAATTCCCCATTAATAAAGTCATTTTGTTTTAACACCAAACTATTTTCTTACAAAATTATAAATGCATCCTTTCAATTGATAAATAATTTACAAATCCACACATTTTGCTGCAATTATTTAAAATCGGAGACACGAGTTAATCAAGTAATTCTAATTTATGTTTGGTTGTAAATAGGTAAATTTGTATAAATATTTATTGAGCTTAAATACTTCGTTTTTTCTGGTCCTTTGGGATCATTGATGACATCACTATTAATTGCTAGGGGGCATGAGGGATGTTGCACTTATTCATTATGCCTAATGTACAGACTCAATCAAACCGAATCTGCAATTTTCACGTAATTTTGTTGTGATTAATGCTTCCAAGGGATCACTTTGTTTTCAGATTTTTATACTTCACAACAGCAGGTGTCAAGTGCTGTGTGGCTGCTGAAAAAAAGTTGCAGCGTATTTCACTTAAGTTTTTTTTGTATTTCTGGTCCTTGGTGATCATTGATGCCAGCACTATTAAGTGTTGAGGATTGAGTACCGCTCAAGCCGGTGATACGGGGTGTCAGGGATGTTGCACTTATTCATTATCCCTGATGTACAGACTCAATCAAAGCGAGTATGCAATTTTCACATAATTTTGTTTTGATTAGTGCTTCCAAAGGATCACTTTGTTTGAAGATTTTGGCCTGATATAGTATTGTTGGTGGTACGTGATAAACCCTGTGAAAACAACACCTCAATAACAAAAAAGTGTTCACAATCTGAATAGACTGTCCATTGTATAAAAATTCTAAAATTTCGTGACAAATTTCCACCTTTTTTACAAATTTTTGTTTTAGAAACATTGACCTTCATTTTCCACAGCTCACAATACTTGTGTAATAATTCAATACTTTAGTGAGTTCTTCAGGAGAATTTGCGAATATAACAATATCGCCTGCTATAGTAAAAATATATTTTTAAACATGTCTACATCTAAGCCAGTCATATTACCATGTATAAAAATTTCATCAAGTTTATTTATGATTATAGAAAATAAGAAAGGAGATAAACATTATCCTTGCCTTACTCCTAGTTAATAATGAGTGCTACAATGCTTAACTCTTGATTTTACAGACTCATAAATGGACATTACAATATCAAAATCTTTCGACGTAAACAAAGTTTTATAAATTTGTACCTTGGATTATCTCAAATGGTTTACTAAAATCTAGTATAAAGTTACTTCCCTAGATTAAATTAGTGTCACAATATTTCATTTATTCATATATATTTTCTACTGTACTCATCTTTAATCTACACCCTTCTTGTTATTCTATATAAACGTTGTAATGTTCTGATCTAAAATTTAACTAATTATTTATTAAAGGGATGAAAAGTTTAACTAAACAGCTGAAAAATGTGATACAACGATAATGCTCAATGTTATTAATGAAGAGGAATTTCAAAACCTTCTAACCACCTAACCGGAAAATAACCAATATCATATATTTTATTAAATAACTAATAGTACAGATAAAATATCTTTACCTTGTACAAAAGTTCATTCAGCCTGCTTGCTTATAAAAATCTAAAAGCAACCTGCCATTATCTTTCACATGCCCTTAAACTTGTGAAAACCGATCTAAATAAGTATCTGTCTAGTAATCGTTTGGTAAAATATCACTATTAAAGGCATTATAAGTATCATGAAAGTAACGACGTTCGGGCATTGACATCATTTGAAAAAAATTCTACATAAGTAACAGGGTGATCAGAATCTAACTGTCAAGAAAGTTATCATCTATTGTGGATTGTCTACTACTCTTGTCGGATATTTCATAACACAGACAAATACACATGTCTTTGTCCATTGAAAGTTTATTGCATGAAATCTTTATCCATATTATATCATCTCGATCTTGGGATGTGAAGTGTCGCCTCATGATAGCCTTTTGCATGTTGCAGTTACTGTGAAGCAAGAAACGCAATTTCCTTCACAGAGCAAAAAGCATTTCTTTATTCAAGGACCATAACCAGTGTAATATGCATAAGAAATTGAGCTACCAATCAAATCTGTAAAAATGATTTACTGAAATTGGTATAAAAGGAGTAGTCCAGACAAACTTAATTAATACCTTTTTATTCAAGGGCCATAATTCGACCAGAAGTCATTAAACTGTAAAACCCGTACTTTAGCTACCGGTCAATCCTGTAAAGATTCAATGAAATTACATGACTGGGACATTTCTAAAACAAGAATTTGTAGTTATATCAGCTGTTAGCTATATTTTATACATATAAATATTGCGCATGATCAGTAATATATCTAACCAGTCCCGATAAAAGGTATTTTAGGAGAGAATAAATTGTACAGTATACACGAGTTTGTGTTATATCACTATTTTGTGAACTCTTTTGATTATTTTAACTCCCAACATCAAAACATAAATGGTACGTGAGAAAGATCTAAGATTCGCACATTGATGTTTTTCACAAATTTCTTAATTGCCTTTATCATGCAACTGCTATCGCAATAGCTTTGTAACACTTGCGTGATAACTTTTCTACACACTTGTTACTATAGATAGTAACAAATTTGACTATGATTTTGACTGATTATGAATGTCACGTGACCGATTATGAGTAAGCGGCCCGGGGCCTAAAATATTATAATCCTAATCGGCCCAAATCCTTAAAAAGTCACAATGACATCACATTTGACGTCTTCAAAGCAGGTAGCTTTGAAGTTAAATTATGTTTTAGCGCGGACCGTTTATCTCTGATTTGATCCAGCACAGTCTTTTAAAATGTAACATTTAAGTCAATTTTAAGAAATTCCTTCAAGAGCTTGAAGATTTATAAAGTAGACACAAAATTGTCTGACATTTGACTTTTAGCTGGCACGGCGACGGCATTGGTGCTGCAGTTCGCATTTTAAGGTGATAATTACTGGCTTGAGTTGGGGGATGCATTATTGAATCTTGTTTTTTTTTGTGTTTTTAGGTAGTTAACATTTGAAGCTAAGACATTTTTGTCACCTTGTCATCATTCTGAACATTGACGGTCTTAACGTTGTCAGTCAATGTTCAATTTCATATTTCAACAACACTGTGCCAAAAAAGTATGTTGACTTAAAAGATGGCCCACTTGAGATCCAATGCTGAAAACGTCATATTTACCTTATTACAGAATAAAGTCACTGTGTATCTTCGTTCATGGTCATCCATAGTAAAATTTGATCTCAATCAATAATTTTGCAAGAAATCAAATTTAGTGAAAAGGTGGCCATAATATTTCAAACTGTAGATTTTATTGTTTAAATGTTATTTTGCAATCATTTCTATCTAAGGTCTGAGCTCCATTCCTTACAAAAAACTGGGCAAAAAAAAAGAAATAATTTGTGCAATAACTTAAAAAGTTAAAATTAGGCAGAGGAAAATATCAATAAAAACAATATAAAGTTTTATTCCACACACAAATCTCAATGTGATCTGAATTTGTATAGAATGCAAAGAAATGTAAAAAGATGCTAAATTCTCAGACTAATTACCAAACAGCTCCACAAAAGATACCAATTAACACGGTTATATTTTAGCCTAGGAAGTTATAGATATAACTTTTGCAGTGAACTACCAGGCATTGCTTTTAAGAAGTAGATTTTGAAGTTAGTTTACTTAACAATACATGTACATGCATGTGTAAAACATTCCCTAAATAGTAGAACATTTAGAACCAGGGCATGATTATATGATAAATATCAAAGAGGTCAATTTTGCAATGCTACAGACGAACACATCAAAACACAGTAGTTTCAAAAAGTAACACTTGTTTTTTTTTCCTTTGTAAGCTTTTGTATCGGTTATCAAGTGGCACAAGAACAAATTGTCAAATTTTCAATTCCGAGATATGATTTATATCTTTTGAAGAAGAGCACAAGGTATGTTACATATGAAATAAATTTCTAATCTCTAATTATTGAAGCCTGATGTGGAGACTTTTAAATCTGTTTTAAAGTTCTGTTGCTTTAAAACTTGATTAACAAGGCCACGTCATTTACATACTTTTTAGCTACAAACAGGACAAATGTGGCTAAGGGTAGTACGCTTTCTGTTTTTGTCTGAAAATTAACAATATTACTAACGTTCTTAATTATTGTGTAGATTGTTCTCTATTTGTAGATGGTTTTCTTATATGCTTTTGATCATAAAGTATGCAATATTGAACAATATAACGCCAGATGAAATTTAAAAATGATTTTAAATTTTAAAACTCAATGTATTCATTTTTGCCGATTCAGAGACCCCCTTTCTATCTTCGTCGGACAAAAGCTGTCTCTTTAGTATGCAATTAGCGTATCATTAAATGATACGTCATTTTCTTAACAAAAGAAAGAAATTGATAACTAACCCAAATTATATCCTTCATTATGTCCAGAAGATATTCCTTAGTAGAATTTCAAATACTCAGAAGCTAACATTAGTTTTCCAATTTAAAGAAAGTCTCATTTGCCTTATTCTTTTAAAGAACTTTTTATTTTTAAATCAATTTTAAAGAGGAACAATTATAGCGAAAAGGCGCAGTTCTCTTGTTTGAAAAACCATTTTATACCTTGACTTAAACTACCTTAAATGCACCTATGTTATCTGCTGAAATAAAAGTCCTGTAGTTCTATGATTAAGAAACTCGTTTTGCGATTTAACGTTATTCCAAAAAGCAAGACAGTCAAATTTTGTTGGAAGTCAAGCATGAATAAGAGGAAAGTAGATGGTCTGCCATAAAAATCCCTACATTATCAACTAGTGGTTTTAACGTTATTGATATTGACTTTAAACGTTCAAGAAATTAATTTATTTATCTGAATGGGAATTCAAACTGTGACTTCATGATATCAACCCCTGTCTTGATATATCCCAATCTCTTTTTTCTTAACCGTCATGATCTGTTTGTCTTAGATGCAGAATTGGACATATTAGATTTCTAACAAAAGGGCCATGATAGCCCTGAAATCGCTCAACTGATTATAAAAAAACTCTCCACAATTAGGAATAAGTTATATTGTAAACAAACTACAAACAAAGCAGATATAAAATCTAAATCTAAAACTGATATCACAAAGTTCATATTTGTATCTGAATTAGTGCATGTGTTAAACATTACTGGTTTCTCTATGGGTAAACAACAGTTCCAAAGATGTTTACAGAAAATCAATGACCCAATGGGAACCAATTTGACCCAGAGGCTTTTATTTGAACCAAACTTGGTAGACACCCATTAAAAGATGTTAATATCTAAGTTCTTGCTTTTTTTTAAGAAGATTTTTTTAAGTCTTTAGTTTATACATATAAAGAAAATCAATGACCACCGGGGCGGAGCCAAATTAGACCCAAGGGCTTTTATTTGAACAAACTTGGTAGACACCACATCGAAGATGTTTCATGTCAAATATAGCTTTATAGCTTAAGCCTTTTGTTCTTTTTAAACAAGATTTATGTTTTGTTTTTTGATTTCTATATACATTTAAGGAAAATCAATACCCCCTGTGGCGGGACGAACTTTGACTCAAGGGCAGGGTTCTGAATGGAATTTCGCTGGACGAAAAGCAATCACAAAAGCTCACCATGTCACGTTGTGAATGGTGAGATAACAAGTGATGATGCTCCATTTTGTAACGAATACTTTACTGTCAAATATTTCTTCTTGAATGCTATAAAATGTTCGTGATAGATCTTATCGAGTCACTTCTTATTATTTGCCCCAGTTTAATCTTAAAATCTGGAAACAGTGTGATCCCTCGGAAGCATTAATCTCAACAAAATTACTTGAAAATTATAGACTCGGTCGACTTCTTAAAGGAAGAGATTCTTCCATTCTAAAGTTAACTATATTGAACCATAATATTTATAGTCTACGTATTAAAGTGTTCGACGCAGAATTACCCAGTAATGGGTCAGTGTTGCCGTTAATCGAAACAAACAAACAAAAATACCTTTAGTTGACATCCACTGCAGGCTGCGACATATCTAAGGCTTTAGTACATTTCAATTCTTTGTTTATTTAGAGTAGCCTATTTAAGTTTCAAAAGATGATTTCCGTTTTAGCTTTAGTAATGTTATATAGAAAAGATAATTTCAATTTCTCATCATATGCAAGTCCATATATCGTTAGTGATCCAGTTGACAACAAAACTTTGCCCCCTGTACTATATTTCTTAATAACCTCTTGAGAAGGGCCCCGAGGTCATGCTCAACAAAGTATCTAAGCTCGATGCTTTATAGTTAATCAGGCGAAAAAATCATTCTCAGATTCACAGACAAATCGCAATGGTGAGAATTTGAGCTAAAACAATATTTTACCTTTTTTATTCAACATTTTATGCAAATATTGTGGATATTATCAATAGGATTTAAGTTGCACTTACCTCTAAATCTTTTAAGTCGATTTCATTAAACACACATTTCTCTCGCAGTTTATCTATTAGAAATTTAGGTTTCATTTCCTTTTTCAGAATACCAACATTTCTATTCAATGCTATGCGACCAACATCTGAAGAAATGACAGAATAATTTGCAACGGATGATAAATGAAAGGGTCATCAGGACTTTATATCACTTACTTCATTTTCTGGAAAGCATAACTTTACGGTTTCAAGTAGATCAATGTATGACAATATTTAACTTAGATGAATATGTGTGATTGTGAATTTAGTATTTTAATTCGCAGGCAAAATTAATAAAAGTTTAGGTCTGGATTAGTTGTCTCGAAAAATTCTCTCGTATCATAAGGTTGAGTCCAAACTTAGGAAATTGTTACGATATAAATAGACGTCCTTATTTTATTGTCTCACATGAAGCTCAAATATGTAATTTTTACAAACAGTTCATTTTTGGCACCTACGTATAAGTGAAAGTTAAAATTAGGCCAGTGATACATTGATTTGTACTCTAAGACTTCGGGCTCTTTTACAATGATATTTTCTCTAGTATCGAGGAAAAAGCGTTGAAAATATCTACATTGGATCATTACGTTATACATAATGATATAATGTACTATATTCCATTGTATGAAATTGTATTGCTTTGTATATGTTGTTTTGGGCAAGAGGCCTTGAATCAATAAACTCATTGACATTGGATCAGTAACAAGCACTTATCATAGTATTGGAAGCAATCCATAAGACCCCCACCGGTAAGAACCCCAGTAACATTCTAAAGGGTCATTATATTAATGAATGAAACGAATGAACTAAAATCTTTTTAGTTTTTAGTTTGTATCGTAAAACTGCGTTAAGTGTCCCTGCATAGTAAGGAAATAATGTTTCTACAACAGATAGTCAAAAGATGAATTTTTCACAGGATGAATATGTATAATTAATTTTTAAACTTTTCTTTATTTCAAGTAAATTTGTTGCAAAGTTCCACATCCTTTAAAAGTGATCTCAGGAAACAATTTTAGGGCCGGACAGACGGACTGAAAGACACTCCGAAGGGAAATATTTAAACATCCCTGGTTGTAATTGTAATGTAACATTTTTAAAAAATTCTTGAAGAGGAGATTACTCTTGAAATAAAGATCCACGACTTATGAACATTGTCATACATGATGTGAGTGTAACAAAGCAGAAATATCTTAAGTTTAAAGAAGATTCCATTTATAGTAACAAAAAAATAAAATAAAATATATAAATAAAAAATAAAAATAATATTCAAATAGATTTAAAATTCAAAATGAAAATACTCATAAAAACCCGTGACTTAGATGTAGGTCCTGATATTGAATGTATATTTTGAATTTAAAGTAAATCCACGAAGAAACAAGAATTTGTAACAGAGTTACCAACGACCCCCTCCTCGGGGAAGTTTTATATGAAGCATAAAATTGTGCTATTTCAAAAGATTTAGGTATGGCTCTCAGGACTTTCATTCCAAAGTTATAATCGATGCTAGATCTGCAAATGCAATGATATTTTTTTGAAGAATTAAATGAAACACGGAATTTAAAAATCTATCATGTTAAGCTTTGAGCTCCAAGTGTGACCTTGACCTTGGAGGTAGGGGTGCAGGTGTTGTGCATGACATATCGTCTTATTATTGTAACTATGTGTGCCAAGGATTTTCAAAATCCCTTGAACTATGAAGAAGTTATAGTTCAGACACAAAATAATACCCTAATACAGACTATGCAAATCTTTGACCTCTAACTGTGTGACCTTGGAGGTAGGGACCCATGTTTTGCACCTGGCATATCGTCTTTATATTGTGATTATTTGTGCAAAGTATTTTTTAAAATCCCTTGATCTATGAAAAAAGTATGGACTGGGCACAAAATATACCCTATGATAGACTATGTAAATCTTTGACCTCTAGTTGTGACCTTGACCTTAGAGGTAGGGACACGGGTGTTACGCATGACATTTCATCTTATCATTGTGACTATTTGTGCCAAGTATTTTCAAAATCCCTTGATCCATGAAGAAGTTATATACGGGTACGGTACAGTTATATGACCTTGACCTTGGAGGTAGGATTTCCGGTGTTGTTCTTGACATATCCTCTTATTATTGTGACAGTTGGTGCCAAGTCATTTCAAAACCCGAAGAAGCTCTAAATTTGACACAAAGTATACCCTAAAACAGATTATGTTAATTCTTGACCTCTAAGAGTGACCTTAAACTTGGAGGTTTGGATGCAGGTGATGCGTATGACACATCCTCTTATTATAGTGACTATTTGTGGCAAATATTTACAAAATCCTTTGATCTATGAAACAGTTATAGACCGGACACAAAATATACTCTATATAAGACTATGTTGATCTTTGACCTCAAAGTGTGACCTTGGAGGTGATGACAATGACAATGACAATGACAAAAGATTTATTTGATTTTGGCCTCCGGCCCATATCAACAAAACATATACATTACAAGCATGACATGATGTAGTGCCAGTGTACTATATAGATCAAATACAATTTATAACTACTAGTACAAATGTATATGAAGCGACAGAAATAAACTTTTTTAACATAAATGTATAGTATTTACCCACCAGAATGTGTAGATACATAAATAATTACATATTTAAACAATATCATTTATCATAGTATTTACCCACCAGAATGTGAACATACATAAATAAATACATATTTAAACAATATCATTTAGCATAGTATTTACCCACCAGAATGTGAACATACATAAATACATATTTAAACAATATCATTTATCATAGTATTTACCCACCAGAATGTGAACATACATAAATAAATACATATTTAAACAATATCATTTAGCATCATTTTACGTTCTTGAAAAGCACAATATGCAAACACAGCCAATCTCATTATAATATCTACATTTTTCGATGACATCGAAATATTGAACTTATTAATATTAGGGGACAGATAGAATTTAGATGGGATATATTTCTCTCTAAAAGAGGTTAATTTGGGACATTTTAAAACAAAATGAAATTCAGTTTCAATTTAAGTATTACAAAGTTTGCATATTCTTTGATTTCTTTCAGTGTTGGAATACCTCCCTCTTTCTATTTCTAAGTCATGTGAAGAGGTCCTTAATTTACCCAATGCATTTCTAAATTTTTTAATTGTTACACAATCCAAATATATTTCATGTTCAAAAGTTAACTTATAATTTGCATGCAATGACAGTTTAGAACTATTTCCCACATCAGAATGCCAAGTTTGAAGATACTGATCCTTAAGTCTAAGAGTAAATTGATGAAGGAATAACTTTTCATTAGGTACACTCTGATCAAACCAAATTTGCCCAAATCCATTTCTCATAAGTAAATTTTTAACATATGTAACCCAATTATTTTGTCCATAGTTATCAAAACATTTCATAATATTGTATGCTTTTTTTACATATCTTTGTTCATCCATTTTTAAGATTCTACACCAATATTTAATAACTCTTTTAGCAGTTGTAATAAACATTGGATATCTGCCACAATCCCCCAAAATAGCTATATTAATTGTTTTTTTGACTAAGGCACATATATCTTTTACATGCATAATTTTGAATGGAATCAGTGAATTTTTGCTCACTAGTACCCCAAATCTCGCTCCCATATAACAAAATTGGACTGATTTTTGTATCAAATATTTCGAAAAATACATGTTTTGGAAGTTGTCCATACTCATACAATTTATTTAGAATAGATATAAGAACTCGTTTAGCTTTGATACTTTGGTCCTGTGCCATATAAGGAAAAGACAGTTTGCTTGTGAAAGTGTTGCCTACATATGAAAACTTTGATACAGTCTCTAATCTATTATCATCAAAAAACACTTTTCATGCATACTTAGTTTCCCCCCCCCCTTTTTAAAAACCATAACCTTAGTTTTGCTAGGATTAACTTTGACAAAGTGTTGATCACAAAATTGTTTTAACAAATCAAGCAATTTCTGGAGTCCATTAACAGTGTCTGAAGTCAGAGCTAAATCATCTGCAAATAATAATGTCAATATTTCTGTAACATCTGGAAACAACTGAATACCTTTTAGCTGACAATTTTCTATTTCCTTTACAAATTCCTTTATAAAAATGACAAAAAGTATTGGGGAAGCTAAGCAACCCTGTTTTAAGCCTATATGACAGTCAAAATACTCTGTTAAACCATTATTTGTTCTAACACAAGCTTGTACAGAACTATATAATCCACAAAGGCCACATACAGTTTACCACCCTTTTTTGACAGTTGTTTATTTACAATAGCTTGAAGATCAAAAGCATTATCTGTCGTAGAATAGCCCTCACGAAACCCTGCTTGAGGCTCTTTTATTTTGTCAAATATATTTACATAAAATGTTATTCTTTTAGTTAAGATACAAGTATAAATTTTTCCTAAATTTTTCCTAATACATTTTGAAGTGATATACCTTGGAGGTAGGTGACCGGTTGTTGCGCATGACACATCGTCTCATTATTGAGAACAATTGTGGCAAGTATATACAAATCCCTTCAAAGATAAGACAGTTATTGACCGGACACGACATATACCCTAAAATAAACAATGTTGACCTTGAAAGCGCAAGTGCGACCTTGACCCTGGAGGTACGGGTCTGGTTTTGCGCATGACACATCGTCTTCTTATAACAAGCATTTGCTATTTCAGATTCCTTTGATATATAACAAAGTTATGGACCGGACACGAAAGTGTGACGGACGGACGGACGGACAGACGGACGGTGCTGGAGCCTATTTCTATATCCCCCTTTTTTCTTTGAAATTCCAAACTAGAAAGTTTAATAATATATCAGTAAAATTCAAAGTTCAATGAGGAGATCATTCTAGAAATATGGATGCTAGATTTATAAACCATGTAATCCTTGTCATACTATTATGATTTGGGAGTTTGAAGTAAATCCTAAATGAAGAAATATGAGTAAAAAATACTAATTTCTAAAAACAATTGTTCAAGGGGATATAGTTCTGGAAATAGTCATGCTAGAGTATTACACCTTCTCATAAATGATTTGAGTGATAATAAGAAACATATATATGAAGTATGAAATAGATACATTACGAAAGTAAGAATTTATGAAAAAACAAAACATTTTCTGATGAAAATTCTAAGTTCAAGGAAGGTAATTCTGGTGATTTTTGTGCCAGTGTTGTAAACAGTATGACATATGTAGTGGTTGATGATCAGAAAGTACATTTGAAGTTTGAAGTCTGAAGTCAATACCTTAAGAAAAAAAGTTATAGTGAAAAAGCATAAAAACTGGAATCAGAAATATTGACAAGGTTGCCGACGCTCCTAGAGTAGGACAACTCATAATATACTCCCTATAGTCAAAATTTAAATGATCACTATAATCTCCAAACTGCCATCTGTCTATATCTTTTAGTTTCATAAAAATGTTTTCAGTACTATTTGAGTACTCACAAATTTTATTATATATGTGCCATATTTTAAGCCTTTTTTCCGCCATAGAAACCAAATTTTCAAAATAGGAAACAAAAACAGACACACATAATCTCCAGATTGCCATCTACCTATATATCAAATTTCACAAAAATATTTTAGTACTTTTTGCGCTATTACTGCATCCAGTTTGTGTTAAATTTGTCATATTGTCACTCTCTTTGTTGCCACAGCAACGAAAGATTTCAACATTGGAAGAAAATAATAAATACGTGCATAATCTCTGACTGCCATCTATTCATTTAATAAATGATCGGTACTTTTTGCGTTATCACAGGATCCAGTTTTGCGGACGAACTGGCTGACGGACGGACTGACGGACGTTAACCTAAAGTCACCTCCGGTTAAACCGGTACGAGACTAAAATTTATTATGTGATGAGTCACTGAATGTCCAAAAAGAGCAACAGTTTCTTTTTGCGCAAAATCTTGTTAGAAAAAGGGGATTAATTATGTCAATATGCTTTATAAAGTTACCTTACTATGTATACACATTTATGACATGATGTTGAACATGTGTGCAAAGTTTCAATGCCATATCTTAAATTAATTGAGGTACCACGTGGTACGCCAACTTTAACATAAATTTTAAGTAAAAAGGGGCGTTTATCTGTTACAATGCTTGAGAGTTTTGTTCAGATCTGGGGATGATGGTGAACAAGTATGCAAAGTTGCAAAGCCATATGTCAATGAACTTTGAAAATATTTGAGGTGGTACGCAAACTTTAATGAAAATTGTATGTCGGAAAGGAGGCATTATTCTGTCAAAATGCTTGATAGAGTTACCTCCTCCTGTCTTTACAAAGGGTGCATAATTGTTAACAAGTGTAAAAAGTTTCAAAGCATATGTCAATGACTTTGAAAATAATTTGAGGTGGTAAGCAAACTTTAACATTAATGGTAACGTCGACGTAGACGCTCGGTTGACTTATTCTTATCGAAAAGTCGAGCTAACACCATTCCTTTGCAACTTTTTTGAGTTTTAGCATGACAAGAGCTGTAGGAGTAGTTATGCACAAAAGAAATTGTTCACTATATTTTACATATAAGGAAGAAAAAAAGGACCATAATTAGGCCAAACTACGAAAGAATGCACCAGAGCACTTATGACAATGACTGCTGCGCATAGAAGAAATTGTTTACGACCGCCCGCAGACATATCTCTGTCCAATAACAGTTAAGCAAATGGTGCTATTCATTTATCATGATTTCAATATAGGAATAATAACATTACATTGCTACAAAAAATATGTAAACATTGAAGAATAGAATAGAAAAATATGCCAAGTTTACTTGTCAGAACACATGTAAATGTTAAGTATTAACTTTGTGCTCGTGTATATGATTTAAGTTTCTCAAAAATAGAGTATAGCTGTAATATTCAGTAAAAATTGTATGTATAACATACATAAATTTAAATATATCAAAATCAAAATGTCAAATTAAAAATTTACGTTCATCTTTTTTCCAAAAACTGAAAATAGGGTTTTCCCTTGAAAGCATCAATAACAGCAAAATTGCATGAAATTGCAGACTCGGTTTTATTGAGTCTGTACATGAGGGATAATGAAAAAATGCCAAGTTCAAGTTGTATCTGCATTTAAAAGAACAGTTTCTAACATATTCCATGAATATAAATATGAAATCACACTAGTCATACCTCTTTTTACATTAAAAATATAAATGAGACACATAAAAACTAAGAATATTAACATACCTCTAACTGTCAGAGACGTTCCTTGTAGTTTCGTTTCAAGGTTTTTTGCTCCTGAAAAAAAACACAAATATTTATCGTGTTAAATGCAAAACATACAAATACCTATTACATGTAATTATGATCTTTACATATAAAACATGATAAGATATTAAAGTACTCTGATTGTATTATCATTTTGATCGGTATTAGGCAGATCTAAATTTATTAAGGTTAAATAGTAAAAGAACTGTACAAAGAACAAAGACATGTTATAGGTGGCTTTCATGACAACAGAATAAATATATCAGATCAAAATGCATTTTGTTGATATTTCGTAAATACAAGCACATTTGTTGACATTTGTTATTCCCGCCAGTATAATAAAACACTTGAATGGAGCTAACCTCAAAACATTAAATGAAATAACTTTAGTAATCAAAAGCAAATTCATTTCTTTAAATTCAGAATAAGTTAGCAAGAAACTGAGTTAAGCTTCAAGTCTATTGTTCAAATAGTACGTTATTCACAAATATCATTGCAAAAACACAGAAAAAATCTGAAGCTGTGACAAGGTTTGTAAAGCACTTTCCTCTCCGTTAGATAATATTGTGATAGTTTCGGAAAAGCAGTTTTAAACATCTTATTTGCAATCCCATGTTGACATGTTCACAGAATACACAAGCCGAAGAAACGGCATTCTAGTTATCCTTATGCATTTAAATATTAATAATTCATATTATAAAAAAATATAAAGTTAATACACTAATTGATCCAAACATTCTTCAATTAATTCAAATGAATTTTTCAAATTTTTTGACTTGCATATTTCTTTGTGTATAAATAATATTATTGATAAGATATTTAGCAAAAGGGTTGACTTAAATCCTTACAAAGCTGATATTTCCAAATTTAATTTGTTATGACTTACGTGCTTCAACCAATGTGGTACATATTTCCAAACTAGTAGGATATTCTATGACATGTAGCCGTCGTGAGGAGGACATTATTTTACAAAATTGATACATAACTAATAAACTCTTTCAACCACACAAGCGATTTAAAAAGTTATTCCCACGAAATAAAGAGTAAGTCATCAAAATTTAGAAGAAAAAAAAAACACATGCGGTTAGGTGTAAGTAACCCAGTTTTAAGGAGATGTGTTTTATGAACTAAGTTAAGTTTTGAGAACAATTTTTAATTGGATGTTGGTAAAATTATCAAATGTTTTATACAAATAGTATATCATAAAAGGTACATTGAAAATACTGCATTCTTAGTATTCAAACTTTTCACAGTTGGACACTTCACGTTCTTCTTTTGATTCCACCTGAAAGGGTCAAGTTGGAGTCTATATGTTTTTTTCTTAATCCCATATAAATGACTTATCTTTTGTCTTCTTAATTATTTCACCCAGCCCTGGTAGCGTATTTGTTTGCGACTTTGAGCTTCTGTTATGGCACTTTTGTTATGGAAATTGGGGTTTTCTCTTTTTTTACTTAAGCAGTATGTCGTTTTAATTTCACCTGATATTACGTTCTTTGAACCGCCTTTCCTTGTTAATCTTATTTAATGTATCATTTGACAATTGTTAGTAAAACGTTTGGCAGGGAGTGCTTTAAAGCACATGGTCATGTTTTACAGGGACATGTCAGGGCCAAAAGTGAAGTTAAAGAGCAACATTAACCGGTTAATTACAAGGTACTTGCTGTGTGGAACTACCATTCTACAACTTAATGCTATAATGTAAAAATAATTTCTTACCACTGTCAGTCCCAAGTAAAGGAATCCCTGAAATACAAAAGCAGCAAAAGAAAATATATATATATATATGTACTTCTTAAATTGAGAAACCCAAAGTGCTTACTCGTACATTGTATTGACAATGCCCTTTCATTCTTTTCCGTTTCGTTGTGGTTTCCAAAAGGCTACTCATATGCCATAAAGCTGCACAGTCCTTCAATATTTGGCTATAAGTACAGTATCTTATTAATTTGTATTGGAGACAAAACACCAATTTGTTTACATTTTGCTACTTTTATGACATTTTTACAATAAAAGCCAAACTTTTATGTATTAAACAGGAATCTTTCATTTTAAAAATCTATTACTTGCATATAAGCAAAGGTAAGCTTTCTCCTTAAAGGAAAACATGTATTTCTTATTTCTAAATTCCATGAAGAGTCGTTTAGATTTTCTAATATTTTACTACTTAACTAAAATATTTGTTCCACCGGGATGGAAATGCAAATACATTTCTTGCATATCAGACAGGATTATCTACCGTTTACACCGGTGCTAGAAAACTCTATCTTACACCCCCATGTAAGACAAGTCGCGTGTTTTAAATGACGTCATTGACGCGAGCCTTTTATGAATGAATTGCGTTCTTAGGATGACGTCACTTAACCGTTATGAATGAAATTGCCAGTTCATACGATACTATAAGTAAAAAGTGCGTTATGAGAATATCCGTTTTTGTAATTTCTGTTCAAAAATAATTGATATGTAATATGCAAGAAAAAGAATCAAACACCGGCTGTCGGTACAGACAGGAATATCTAGCTCTCGGGTGACTGTTTACGGCGGAAACTCGGCAGAGCCTCGTTACCGCCGTAAACAGTCACCCTCGAGCTAGATATTCCGGTCTGTACCGGCAGCCGGTGTAAGATTCTTATAGTATGTCATCTTCTGTTTGTATAAATATAGCCTAATTACTCACAGCAGTAATTTGAGGCTGTGTTCAAGCAGTGGCCATCTACATAATAATCCAGGACTGTTATCATAAGACAAAATACCACTGCATTTAGCTTTTCTGTAGGGTATCAGGAATTGCCTTTAATTTATGCATGGACAAAAAGCTTTGTACGAAACATTTGAGCTCGATGTGCAAAAAATTTATATATAAGCATTTCGAATTCCTAATTAATAATTTAATCATGCACCTGACATGACCATCTATTCACTTATTAATATTGTTGCTTTGAACATAAAGGTTTGAATCTGAACTTTGAGCTAACTATCAAACTCTAGCTCACGACACGTCGTCATCACGTTAAATCATTTATTTAAGGAATGTCCTATAGACAAATGGACTAGCAGATGAACAAACGGAAAAGTACACAACTTTAACTTTAAGGGTCAAAATAAACAATGGAATATCTTAAAAATAAATCCAATTATGCAAAAGAAAGGAATGGTTTCTTAGTCACAACCCTACTTTTCAATGTTACAACCACAAATATCACTGAAAGGGCCTTTTTGTTTAAAGTGTTTCAAAGTTCAAGGTCATATAGTACTTTAAAAACAATTTGGCCTTGAATGTTGTATTTTCTACGTATAAACCAAAAACAATCACTCAATATTAACAACGGTTCTTGCGCACGACAAGCCGTCTCATCATGTTTGAGTCTGAAATTGTTTTCAAATTTCACCAGTTGATAGAGTTATGGTGCGGACAAAATACTTATAACATTTCTTGACATTTGACCTTAAAGTAAGACATTGACCTTTGACAAAGTCATACGATTCTTGCATGCGACATGCCATCTCATGACGCTGAACATTTGTGCCAAGTAATTTGAAATTCCACAGGCAAGTGTTAGAGTTATGGTGTGAACAAGCTGTTTGATATAATATTTTTTTGTATTTGTCCGAATCTTTGACCTAGCCACACGACTCTTGTACGTGAAAAGCCATCTCATGATGTTAAACATTTGTGCTTAGGTACGGTAGTTGAAATACTGCCACCTCAGTACTGACCGGGACAAGCATAATCAGGACGATAGTAGGACTTTGACTCTTTGATTCTTGCGCTCGATACAAAAATTTATGATGTTAAACATAAAAGCCAGGTTAATTGAAATTCAACCAGCTACTGATAGAGTTATGATGCGGACAAGCTGGTACAAGTATGGCATTGACTCTTGATTAATCCACGCAGTTCTTGGGTGCCACACGCTTTTTCATTATTGTGAACATTTGCGCTAAGTTATTTGAAATTCTGCCTTCTATAAACAAAGTTACGAGCTAGACACGCATAATACGGACACATATAACTGAAATGCGATTAATAATAAGAGATTAAGCAAAAAGGTTGCCTTTAATCTTAACAAAGCTGATATTATCACATTTTATGTGTCATGTACATCGCGCTTCAACCAATGCGATTCATATTTCCCAAATAGTAAGATATAGATATTCTAGTAAATGCAGCCGTGCGGAGAACATTAATTTTCAAAAAAGTTATACATAACAAACAAACTCTTTCAACAACGCAACGCAAAATACGTGATCAAACTCAAAACAGTCAAGAATAAGTCACCAACATTCAGAACGATTATAAAAAGCCTCATGCATTAAGGTTTAAGTAAACCAGTTTTAAGGAGATGTGCTTTATAAACTAAGTCAGGTTTTAAGGGTTATTCTTCATTGGTTGTTGGTAAAATTATCAAACGCTTTATAAAAGTATTATATCATAAAGAGTATTTTGAAAATATTGCTTGCTTAGTATTCCACCTTTTCACAATTGGATACTTCACTTTCTTCTTTTGATTCCATCTGACGGTTTAGTTGGAGACTCAAGGATTAGTTCTTCAATCCCATTTAAATGACTTATCTTTTCTCTTTTTAATTATTTCGTCCAATCCTAGAAGCTTATTTTTTGCTATTTTACCTTCCGTTATGGCGCCTTTGTTATGGCAATTATGTTTTCTCTTTTTTACTTAAGCAGCATGTCTTTTTTATTGACAATTGTTACAAAAACAAAGTCTTGTTTTACAGGGACATGTTGGAGCTAAAAGTGAGGTTTTGAGCAACATTAACCGGTTAAAATTACCAGGTACTTGTTGTGCGGAGGTGAACTCAAATGTAAGAGAAAGACATGATAGATCGTGAATGTGACGTTCGTTCACAGTTCTATAAAGACATGTCCTATGATCACTTTTATGTTTGATTGTTTCAATTTTAAAGTCAAATTTGCTGCCAAATCTGTTGTTTTAAAACCCAAAATAATAACAATAAAAAAACAACAACAAAAAAACCACTACAAACAACATTTTGATCTCCCACATTATACCTTTATGCTATAATGTATCAAAAATTTGTTACCATTTACTTTATTTTTAATGTTAGTCCCAAGTAAAGGATTCCCTGAAATACAAAAACAGCACATACAAATATATATATGTTCTTCTTAAAGGCTCATTGAAAACCCCGAATTGATCACTCTCATTAGTATTTTCAGAGCCTTTTTATATTTTAATGACTTATCTTTTGTCTTCTTAATTATTTCGTCCAATCCTGGTAGCTTTTTTTTGCTATTTTGCCTTCCGTTATGGCGCCTTTGTTATGGCAATAAGGTTTTCTCTTTTTAAATTAAGCAGCATTTTATTATTTGCATCTATTGTAACCTTGACAATTGTTAGAAAAACGTTCGGCAGGGAGCGATTTAGAAAAAAAACATGGTCTTGTTGGTTTTGGCGTTTCGTTGTGGTTTCGAAAAAGTACTAATATACCATAATGCTGCACAGTACTTTAACATTTGGCTATAATTAAGTAAATGGTAAAGTTTTTTATTAATTTGTATTGGAGAAAAGGGCAATAATTTGTTTGAATTTTACTACTGTTATGACTTCTTATATTAAATGCCAAAATTTTATGTAATAAGCATGAATCTATCATTTTAAAAATCTATTACTCGCATATAAGCAAAGTTAGCTTTATCTTCAAAGTAAAACGTGTATTTCTTTTTTCTTAATTGTGTAAACAGTCGTATAGATTTTCTTATATATTTTTCTACTACACTGTTACATTTTTCCCCCTGGATGGAAATGTAAATTGTCATTTTTTGTTGACATAAATACATATAGCCAAAATATATCACAGCAGTAATTTATGGCTGTGTTCAAGCAGCTGCCATCTAATTTATAAACTATAACTGTTACCGTCATTGAGCAAAACTCCCCAGGATTTAGCTTTTTGTAGGGTATCAGGAATTGACTTTAATTGATGCCTGGACAAAAATCATTGTACAGAACATTTAATCTCGATGTAAAAAACATTTATATTTAAGCATTTAAACATTCCTCATGAATTATTTAATCATGCACCTGACATGACATCTATTCGCTTATATAAAATAGTATGGCTTTTAACCAAAAATTTTGAATTTGAACTTTGAGCTAACTTTCAAACTCTAGGTCACAACACGTCGTCATCACGTTAACAAATTGATGTAAAGAATGACCGATGTATTGATAGACGGATGGACTGACAGATGAACAAAGGAAAAGTCAACCACTATAACTTTCAGTGGCAAAAACACAATTAAATATCTTTAAAACAAACAGCAAATTATGCGAAAGAAAGTAATGATTCTTAGTCATGACACTACTTTTTAATGTTACATCCACAAATATCACTTAAAGGGCTTTTTAGTTGAGACCATTTTGTTTTGCTTTGACTTTAAAGTATGATTTTGTCCCCTGACCTAGCCACACGGATATTGTGCGCGACACGCTATCAAATGATGTTGAACATTAATGCCAGATGATTTGAAATTCCACTAGCTCGAGATATGGTGTGGAAAAGCTGTTTGAGATCTTCTTGCATTTGCCCTTGTAGTATGGCATTGACCCATGAATAAGCCTAACGGTTTTTGCGTGCAACACGCCGCTTCATTATTGTTATCATTTGCGCTTCTGTCTTCAAATGACAAAGTTTTGAGTCACACAAGCCTAATCCTAATGCACAGATATAACGAACCGCCATTTTGACAACTTTTTCGAGGTATCCGCAACCGGGCATTAAAAAAAATAATTAAAAATCAACAACCTGACCTGAAACATCAAGGACATTGATAATTGAAAGCTATCCATTTGAATAATATATAGATAATTAATGTAAAACTCCAGCAAAATGTTTAAAGTCCTTGAAGGTTAAGGTCAGTTGTAAATTAAGTTAAAATTTAGTCTGGTGTGCCTCTCTTGTTTTGTGAAGGTCTTATTCTGTAGGTTGTTGTGTCAAAAGAGGAGTACAATCCGTTATTAACAATTTTAATGTTTCTGGAAGGCAATAGAAACGTATACGGGCGACTTAAATATACCTCGATTCTTTTGCGTCGAAAAGGTCGAGCTTAAATCAATCTGTTATCAAAATGTATCTTTTGCAACAAAAGTTAATTAAATATGTTTTTTTTAAATGCATAACATTATCTTACCTTGGCCTTCTTCATCTGACGAATTTGTTATGTTACCTGAAATTAAAACATGAACATTAAAATCAAGTCATAGTTAAACGTGCTTGATAAACACAAATACCCCTGGCCAAGATTCTTGTCAGTAAGAATTTTACAAAAAAAGTTTAATCAATTCTCTTAGGTATTGACAGAAATCTTATCATGACAAAATCATGAAGTTTTGCTATTCTGAATATTATCATGTTGCATGTCGCTGCTGTTTGATAAAAATGAAAACATTATAAATAAAAAATATCAAAAATACATAAACATCTTTTGACGTCATAACTGTGATATGCAAGCTTCATAGCCGAATAACCCCTCTTAATCGTTCCGTCTCATTTAAATCCGCCCATTTATTCTCGTTTAGGGCACACCTTTTTTAAATAGATTTACACTAACTTGTCATATTAAATGTGTCATGATAACCGCCTTATGAACACAATTTATACTTTCCATAACTGTTCATTAACATGCTCATTCAAATTTGTCGTTTCAGGCATTCTTTAGGGCTTCCGTTTTTTGCTCTTCTTTCATTCACGTTTTATGCCAATTTTTTTTTTCAAAATCCCTTGATGCGCGACAGAGTTGTAGTGTAACACTGACCTTGGTGCTAGGGGTTGAGGTATTGTGCATGTCACCCTGACGTAACATTTGTGACAAGTAGTTTCAAAATCCTTTGATGCATGAAATAGTCAAGGCCAGAAAAGCTTTTAACAACTGATGTTTGATTTGTGGTGTGGCCTTGACGTCATATCTGTGTTATGCAGACTCCCCTTTCAAAATAACATTTTATTAAAATCCGCCCATTGTTTTCTCGTTTGAAGCAAACGCTTTTTTTTACCTTGGGACCATGTGCCACTTTTCATGGAATGACACTTACATGTCACAATGAAGGTTACCCTTCAAAAAAACTTTTATCCACGTTCTGCATAAGAATAACAAATACTTTACATTTAACTCTCTTTTCCTTTAAAATGATAATTAAAGATGTCCTATGCTCATCCTTGAGTAAAGTATTTCAATCACCGAAATTTATTGAAATCTATGAAATTTTAACTGAATATGTCTAATTTATATAAAATGATGAATAAAATGTGTAAAGGAAACTTCGTTCCATTGAACAGGTAATTAAAGTTGGTCTTTAAAAAACACACACGCAAACAAACACTGCCAGTTCTTTCTTATTGATACTTTGTATTCATATTGTTACCACCTACAGTGTGTATAGTTTTTAAAGTAACATATTTACTTTGTGTGAAGTCAAAACATGTTTATTATATATTTACAAAAAAGACTGTGTAGCAATTATTTATATTTTATTATATCGAATTTGACCATGGTATATCTTTTAAACTGCTAAATATGTAATTTGTCAATATCAAAGTGAATGGGTCTGTAATGGAAATTGAGTAAAAGAATGAATTAGTATGTTAAAAGTATTTCTTATAAGACATTGCATCAGAACACGAAATACGTACAAGTATATTGCTGGCAAATGTGAGTATAAAATTATTACATTTGTATAGCATTTTTTAATACTAAATCACTAAAAACTTTATTAACATTTTTTTCAAGAAATATGTTTAAGAATATCCAAGTTAATCTAACAATCTGATTGATCCCCTGGAGGGACATAGCTGTTAACTGTGGGTAGTGACTACGGTTTCCAATGAAAAGCGTTTATCAAACGTCATTTGGATCACAAAGGCGAACATTTTTCTTGTAATATTTCTTTCGATATGATATTATTTTTGGAACAATTTTATGTTCTACGCATTTTCTAGAACATTGATGTTATGGATTTTTGATTTAAAATCTTTATAATATGATAACTGTTATATTTGCATAAAAAACTGAACTTGTAGCGTCCATTTTTGACATGCTGTGAACTTAATTAATTCCAGAAGAACCACTTAGACTATTATTACTTTACAAAATGACTCGATTAAATAAATCTTAAATGTGTACATGGCTTTACTTTGATGTGATGTCCATAATTTTTATTTAAAAAACAATACAGGGATGTTGGAATAATTGCTAAGTGTATTCAATAAATATTACCTTGTTTAAAACTTTGTGTCTTGATTTTTATGACTGTGATATTATAAAATCACTGCCTTTTTCTTAACTTTAAATTTCTGATTACAGTTAATGTTTTCTTTATCTGCGCATTGACAGGTCTATTTTTTCACGTGTTTTACATAACCGGGTCTGCCTAACAAGAGCAGACCTCCGCACGTGCAAAAGATAGACCTCATGACGGATTTCCTTTTGTGTCACAAACAATAGAGGAGGTGTGTAATTATGGATTCTTTATTTCTCTCTATTCCATGATAACCGCCATATGAACACATCTGATGTTAAATAATTCTAAATTTAACCAGTTCATCTTGAATACTGCTTCAACCGGTGCTAGGCGGCGTGGACAGTAACTTGCACGTGGCCTCAATCAAACCGAGCCTGCAACATTTTCAATTTTTCCTTGTTGGGCTTTCTTTAGGGATTTTTATTTCTCTCTATTTGACCTTAGAGACAAAGATCTAGATTATGTACATGACACATCGTCTCATCAAATTATTTAAAAAAATCTTTATGGCTGACAGAGATACGGGCGGACAAGGTCTTATGCTCTCACACGCGCATATACTTATGCCCTCTTTTCCATCGTGGCGTAGTCATAAAAAATTGGATACTTCTCTGTTCACTTTGGTAGATAATATTTACTCATAAAATCATCAATAATAAAGCCTCATGCATTAAGATTTAAGTAAACCAGTTGTAAGGAGATGTGCTTTATAAACTAAGTCAGGTTTTAAGGGTTATTCTTCATTGGTTGTTGATAAAATTATCAAACGCTTTATAAAAGAATTATATCAAAGAGAGTATTTTGAAAATATTGCTTGCTTAGTATTCCACCTTTTCACAATTGGATACTTCCCTTTCTTCTTTTGATTCCATCTGACGGTCCAGTTGGAGACTCAAGGATTAGTTCTTTAATCACATTTAAATAACTTATCTTTTCTCTTTTTAATTATTTCGTCCAATCCTAGAAGCTTATTTTTTGCTATTTTACCTTCCGTTATGGCGCCTTTGTTATGGCAATTATGTTTTCTCTTTTTTACTTTATTGACATTTGTTAGAAAAACAAGGTCTTGTTTTACAGGGAAATGTTGGAGCTAAAAGTGAGGTTTGGACAACATTAACCGGATAAAATTACCAAGTACTTGTTGTGCGGAGGTGAACTCAAATGTAAGAGAAAGACATGATAGATCATGAATGTGACGTTCGTTCACAATTCTATAAAAACATGTCCTATGATCACTTTTATGTTTGACTGTTTCAATTTTAAAGTCAAATTTACTGCCAAATCTGTTGTTTTAAAACCGAAAATAATAACAATAAAAAACAACAAAAAAAAACCCACTACAAACAACATTTTGATCTCCCACATTATACCTTTATGCTATAATGTATCAAAAATTTGTTACCATTTACTTTATTTTGAATGTTAGTCCAGAGTAAAGGATTCCCTGAAATACAAAAACAGCACATACAAATATATATATGTACTTCTTAAAGGCTCATTGAAAAACCCGAAATGATCACTTTCATTAGTATTTTCAGAGCCTTTTTATTTTTAAATGACTTATCTTTTGTCTTCTTAATTATTTCATCCAATCCTGGTCGCTTTTTTTTGCTATTTTGTCTTCCGTTATGGCGCCTTTGTTATGGCAATAAGGTTTTCTCTTTTATACTTAAGCAGCATTTTTTTATTTCATCTATTGTAACCGTGACAATTGTTAGAAAAACGTTCGGCAGGGAGCGATTTAAATAAAACATGGTCTTGTTTTACAGGGACACGTTGGAGCTAAAAGTGAGGTTTTGAGCCTTCTGCTATTCAGAGCCTTTTCATTTTCGGCGTTTCGTTGTGGATTCGAAAAAGTACTAATAAGCCATAATGCTGCACAGTACACTAACATTTGGCTATAATTAAGTAAATGTTAAAGTTTTTTTTATTAATTTGTATTGCAGAAAAGGGCAATAATTTGTTTGAATTTTACTACTGTTATGACTTTTTTATATAAAATGCCAAAATTTTATGTAATAAGCATGAATCTATCATTTTAAAAATCTATTACTCGCATATAAGCAAGGTTAGCTTTATCTTCAAAGGAAAACGTGTATTTCTTTTTTCTTAATTGTGTAAACAGTCGTATAGATTTTCTTATATTTTTCTACTACACTGTTACATTTTTCCCCCTGGATGGAAATGTAAATTGTCATTTTCTGTTGATATAAATATAGCCGAAATATATCACAGCAGTAATTTATGGCTGTGTTCAAGCAGCTGCCATCTAATTTATACAAAACTCCCCAGGATTTAGCTTTTTGTAGGGTATCAGGAATTGACTTTAATTGATGCCTGGACAAAAATCTTTGTACAGAACATTTAAGCTCGATGTAAAAAACATTTATACTTAAGCATTTAAACATTCCTCATGAATTATTTTATCATGCACCTGACATGACATCTATTCACTTATATAAAATAGTATGGCTTTTAACCAAAAGGTTTGAATTTGAACTTTGAGCTAACTATCAAACTCTAGCTCACGACACGTCGTCATCACGTTTATGAAATGACCGATGTATTGATAGACGGAAGGATTGACAAATGAACAAAGGAAAAGTCAAACACTATAACTTTCAGTGGCAAAAACACAATTAAATATCTTTAAAACAAACAACAAATTATGCGAAAGAAAGTAACGATTCTTAGTTATGTCACAACTTTTTAATGTTACATCCACAAATATCACTTAAAGGGCTTTTTAGTTGAGATCATTTTGTTTTTGCTTTGACCTTAAAGTATGATTTTGTCCCCTGACCTAGCCACACGGATATTGTGCGCGACACGCCATAAAATGATGTTGAACATTAATGCCAGATGATTTGAAATTCCACTAGCTCGAGATATGATGTGGAAAAGCTGTTTGAGATCTTCTTGCATTTGCCCTTGTAGTATGGCATTGACCCATGAATAAGACTAACGGTTTTTGCGTGCAACACGCCTATTCATTATTGTAATCATTTGCGCTTCTGACTTCAAATGACAAAGTTTTGAGTCACACAAGCCTAATCCTAATGCACAGATATACCGAACTGCCATTTTGACAACTTTTTCGAGCTATCCACAACCGGGCATTAAAAAAAAATAATTAAAAATCAACAACCTGACCTGCAACATCAAGGCCATTGATAATTGAAAGCTATCCAGTTGAACAAACTAAATATATAGCTAATTAATGTAAAACTCCAGCAAAATGTTTAAAGTCCTTGAAGGTTAAGGTCAGTCGTAAATTAAGTTAAAATTCAGTCTGGTGTGCCTCTCTTGTTTTGTGAAGGTCTTATTCTGTAGGTTGTTGTGTCAAAAGAGGAGTACAATCCATTTTTACCAATTTTAATGTTTCTGGACGGCAATAGAAACGTATACGGGCAACTTAAATATACCTCGATTCTTTTTCGTCGGAAAGGTCGAGCTAAAATCAATCTGTTATCAAAATGTATCTTTTGCAACAAAAGTTAATCAAATATGTTGGGTTTTTTTAAATGCATAACATTATCTTACCTTGGTCTTCTTCATCTGACGAATTTGTTATGTTACCTGAAATTAAAACATGAACATTTAAATCAAGTCATAGTTAAACGTGCTTGATAAACACAAATACCCCTGGCCAAGATTCTTGTCAGTAAGAATTTTTCAAAAAAAGTTTAACCAATTCTCTTAGTTATCGACAGAAATCTTATCATGACAAAATCATGAAGTTTTGCTATTCTGAATATTATCATGTTGCATGTCGTTGCTGTTTGATAAAAATGAAAAACATTATAAATAAAAAATATCAAAAATACATAAACATCTTTTGACGTCTTAACTGTGATATGCAAGCTTTATCGCCGAATAACCCCTCTTAATCATTCCGTCTCATTTAAATCCGCCCATTTATTCTCGTTTAGGGCACACGTTTTTTTAATAGATTTACACTAACTTGTCATATTGAAAGTTTCATGATAACCGCCTTATGAACACAATTATAATGTTTACTTTTACCTTTATCGAATATTTGTAATAAATAAGAGGGTCATGATGGCCATAATATCGCTCACCTGAATTTGAATATTCTATATAACAAAAAAGGAATATTTTTAAGTATGTATGAAAGCAGATATAAAGTCTTAATCTTAAACTGATATTATAAAAGTTCATATTTATGTGTAAAAACACGACTTGCTGCTATTGCCAAGGAAAAACAACAGTTCCATAAAACTTTATTATTTACTAAACAATACAAATGTTTTCATTGAAGGCTATAAAATCAATGGTGGATTAACGTGTTGCTAAGGAATGTTAATGTTTGCAGGTTGCTATGAAAATTAATCAGACTAAAGTTCAGACCTACTTATTTTATATGCACATCGTTATTTAGAATGCCTTTAATCAGATTGCTATGGAAATTTACAGTTTGGTCGAAAAGTCAATTGCTGCTATGAAATCACTTGTTGTTATGGAAACTAACGTCAGGTTTTATTTATATAGAGAAGATACAATATACATATAAGGAAAATCTTTGTTCCCCTGTGCAGGGTAATTTTGACCATTTTTTTAAACAATTATGACCACAAGACAATGTTTCATATCAAATATTTAAGCTAAAGCCTCTATAGTAAAATAGAAAAAGATTAATTATTTTGTTGTTTTCTTTATATACATATAAGGAAATTCAATGACTTTCTTGGTCGAGCCAATTTTTATTTGAACAAATTTAGTAAGCACCCGCTAGTAGATGCTTCATGCTAGCTCATGGGGTCTTTTTAGAAGAAGTGTTTCCTATTTTTCTTATATATATTTAAGGAAAAAAAATTGAAGCGATAACTCTTCCAATTTACAATTTACTTTGAAAGTGTTAATAAACAAAAACTATAGTAATGATAGAAGAAAAATATCTACCGGTTTCACATGTTACAGGGATCTTCAAGATACAAAATAACGGTTTATAAGATGTTGTATAAAGTAAAGGTTTACGGATGGATGGACGGACGACGGATGAATTGCGATCACAAATGCTTATCATGTGAATTTGTTACAGGTTAGAAAAACAATATCGATTTATACAAGGATAAAAGTGAAATTAGCACCTGTTCGTAGTGTTAAATGTATCGTTAATGATATTTTCCAATTATTACTTTTACCACAATGTTAATTTTCCTTTTAAGTTCATTTGTAAATTGGAAATGGAGCTCACGAGTAAAAAAATTTTGTAGACTGGTTTTATACGAAATTCAATCTGATACGCAAAACTGGATGCCGCTAGCAATCATTCTGTATACTGTGAAGAGGTCTTATGACCTCTCCTTTTTATACTTATATAACACGTATATAATGAGCATTCTTATCTTTATCAATACAACCTCTGACATTTTCGTCCGGGAATCAATGATTTGGCCAACTATCTAGAGCGCTGTGCTTTAATTGTTCGTGAAAAGGTTCTTTTAAAGTTTCATGAAATCAAACCGACCAGTTGTAAAATATGGCTTGAATCATAAATCATAAAAAAACATAACTTAGAACCACAACGGTACATAGATACTGATGACATTTGAAAGTATTTAACAGACGTGTACGTATGTACAACTAGCTTGGTGACAATCTTTTCAGTTACATTCCATTCATTTTGATTGTGGTGATTGAGTGGGGAAAATACTCTACTTGACACTTTGACCCCTTTTTTACATATGATAAAAAAACAACAAAAACAAGAGGGTCATGATGGCCATAAATTCGCTCACATGTATATAGGCACCTTTGCCAAGGCCAATATTAAAACAAGGGCTTTTATTTGAACAAACTTGGTGGACATTCATGTTTCATGATAAATATCTAAACTCTAGCTCTTTAGGATTTTTATAAAAAATATTTTTTAAGTTTTAACTACATACATAAAGGAAAAAAAATGATCCCCTGGGGTGGGGCCAATTTTTACCCAAGGGCTTTTATTAAAACAAACTTGGTATACACCCACTAGATGAGGTTTCTTGCTTAATATCTAAGCTCTAGCTATTCTGGTTTATTTAGAAAAATATTTTATTTTAAGTTTTTACTATATACAAATATAGAAAATTAATGAAACCATTGGGGCGGGGCCATTTTTTATCCGAGGGTTATATTTAGAAAAATCTTATTAGACATCCACTAGATGATATCTAAGCTATTTGGGTTTTTGAAAGAAGAATTTTTAAGCTTTTTCTATATACAAAAAAGGAAAATCAATGACCCCCGGGCGGGGTCAATTAGACCCCAGGGCATTTATTTGAGAAAAAAATGGTAGACACTGTCTAGATGATGTTTCACGCCAAATATTAAAGCTCTGCAACCAGAGTTCTGCTTGGAATTTAATTCTTTGAACATTTTTTAAAGTTGACAACCACAGTAACATTCCTTTAAAGTTTGGATGAAATTGGCTCAGCGGTTTATGAGGAGATGTCGTTTAAAATAAAAGTTTACGGACGGACGCCGGACGAAAAGCGATCACCAAAGCTCACCATGTCAATTTGTGGCAGGTGACCTAAGAAGAACAAAAACAAAAAAACATTTAATAAAAAATATTTTAAATATTGACCGAATGTTTAATTATTTAATTTGACATAATGTTACTTACCTGGATGTTTATTACAGCAATGAATGTTGCTACAAAAATGCTGACACTGTAATTAAATAAAACAAACGAATTATATTAAGAGCAAGCAATATGGGGAAATAAATGGCCATATCAAAATTTAACGTGATCAAAACTAACATTCGGGTTTAAATGGTTTGATGGTTTAGGGCGTGAACGGTAACATGAGCAGGCTCAATCACGAGCC